TGTGACATCAGGCCTCACAGGTCTTGACACACTCTGCCTGTCCAGTTGAACTGTAGGGGGACATTGAAGTGGCTCATTGACCATAGTCACACTGCCAGGTCCTAGATCCCCAGGCAGAGTCTTCTATATGAACATCTGTTCCCTGTGGACAACAGTTCCACATCACAACACCCACCACCCACCTCACTCCGATCACCGTCTTTTGTTGTCTTCTGCTAGTTCAGTTACATCAGACACCACCTGAGTATGTTCCAGCAGGATTTCTTCCTGAGGAGGTATGCTAAGTGGCAGGATTTAATCCAGCTGGTGTAGAAATTCATCTGAAACTCCCATTGGTCCCCCCAAAACAAGCATACACATTTATTATTTTTTAGATGAAAAGGCAGAGAAATTTAAATGCAAAGAGCATATGTACCCTCTCATACCTGCATGTGCCATTCCTCACTGGGCTCTGCACACTGCCTCTTTGCAGGGGGCCTCTGTTGTTGAACATAGGATGGGCTTTTGTGATTGAATCCCCAAGGGAAGCAGCACACATTTGACAGGCAATCCTTCATATCTTGTGCAGTATCTTGAAGCACCCAATGTGAAGAGATCGGATCCCCAGATTTCTCACATTTAGGAAATAACAGGTGGACCTGAAAAGACAGGACCTCTGCTCAGGTGGCCCTTGGCCAAGCCCCATCTTCAGAGGACTTCTAGGTCTAGGCATTAAAGAGAAGGAACTGTCGCTTTGGACAGTGGCAGGCAGGGGAAGAGAGAGGGCCACACCCTGTTTACCTCCCTGCTACAGAATGTTATGATGATGCAGATGAGGTTGTCTGACTTTGCACCTGTGACCTCCTGTCCTTCAAACAGAGATCATGGACTGCAAGGTGGCCACATGCACCAGGATTTGTAAGGGGGGAAGGAGAGGATAGAAAACTATAGGATGAGAAGGGCAGGAGTCCCAAGTACTTGAACATAAGCCAGCCCATCCCTTCCTGAGGTCCTGACACTGGACAAAGACTTCCTGAAGGAAGATGTGTGAACACAGATGAATTGCCACACAGAGAGTCACAGGGGACAAAATGCTCAGAGGTGGAGCCCAGCAGAGAGAGTGCACAGGTGACATCATTATAGGCTGTCCCCATGTTCCTGGCTAATGAAGGCCTATACTAGGGTTAGGCAATGACCATTCATAAAAGACAAGATAACTGAAGATGGACCCCGAGAACGTTGAATTTCAAGCTAGACCTTGTGAATGATCACAAGGTCTTTGCTGGGGAGAGAAAGAACTGGTGTAGATCCAGGTGCCTGTCTGGTGCAGGCTCTAGGCATCAGGAAGTCCAGCTGCTCACTGCAGTGTTTTAGTGGGATTCCCTGTTTGACC